TGCAATTTCTTGACGACCACAAAATATTATTGTTTCAATAATAGGAATAAATTTTGCACGATTTTCTTGGGCTTTTCTCAAGATTTCTGAATCGATTAATTTGGTTACAGATTTTTGTCTCCCTTCAACCACGGAAAAAAAGTTTTCAGCCATTATCACTGATGTTTTGTGGTATTCAATGTTTGCATGTGCTTCAAACTGTTCAATGGCATCTTTCCCCCTATTAAAAGATACTTTTACAAAAAACCCAACTCTTTGGTTAGCACCTTTTCCCACATGTTCCCTACTAAATATAACACAAAATTTACAAAACGCTCCCACTTTTTTGTCAGAGTATGAATGCCAGGAAAATCGTTCAAGCCAACATATTTGAAATTTAAGACGCCGTTTAGGCTCAACAGGAAATTGGTAGGTTTTAGGAGGCGTCCACAATGACTTCAACACAATTTCTTTTTCTTGATCCGTCATTGAATTTCCTACATAATTACCTATATCATGGAGATTGGTTGCAGTTTGAACTGAACCTGAAGGCTGGGGATCATCCAAAACTGCTTCATCTACATTTGCACCTGTTTTCAGTTTTGATTACGTTTTAATATCTAAAATGTTCATTTATGAAAAAAATGCATTAAATTAATTGTTAAAAAATGTTTAATATAGCGTAAAAGTTGTTCATTTCAAAACTAAATACTTGTATTTATATTAAATTTATTAGAGAAACTAATTACATAATAAAAGAAAAAGATTTACTACTCCATAACTGAACTAACTAACTTAATTGTTTTCTTTTACGATTTTCTTCCTTTTCATTGCCACAAAAACTAATATTATCGTCAATATTTTTATTATTGTTCTTAAAAAATTTCATCAAACTACTTTGCTTAAACATTCTTTTTCTTTAAATTAATTAAAAATATTTTATAGCTTTAATTTGTTTGAGTACCTTACCTAATATTAAAATGGAAGGAAACCGCGCTTTTTTTTAAATATAAGTATAATTAATTAATTAATTAATTAATTTTTAATTAAGTATAAAAAATTATATTTAATAACTTCTTTATAGAATATCTTTGGTATAAAACATCGTCTCGTCCTGTGAAAGTCGTGAGTTCGATTCATAGTTCGGGAAACCTACTTATGTTGACGGATTAAGTGCATAAACATTCGTAATGATCGTGTGATTTGTTTATTTGTGTCATTGGAAATGGATTTGAACTCTATAAAACGCATGTGATTGATTTTATATAAATAATGGAAATTATAAGCATATACAAAAACTTTATTAAATATAAATATTTTTAAATCACATTCACACACGTAGTTTTTACTTCATTTTCATAATTTTCGTAATTTCGGGGGGGGGGGGTTTGAACCCGTAAATCACCCCCTAAATACGGCCTTGGATATATAATAATGTTATGTATTTTCTCCTCCAAATCATTATTAATTTTATATTATATTTAGAGGGGAAGTTGCCGCTTGCCAAACAGAAATTAATTAAAAATGTTGAAAATGGTATAAACAAATCAATATTTTTTTAAAATGTGCGTTCAATACTGAGAAACTAGGGTCACCAAACCCCAGTGTAAAACTTTTAATGCCTTCTATTTTTTTGTTAAAAAAAGTTCAAGAAACTGTTTGAATTAAGACCGGTATTTTGAGAGGACAAGAATTTACGCGATTTAGTGAGCAAAATTTTGTTAAGCGATTGCCAAATTTTTCGCGGGTCTTTATTACTATTGTTAATCATATTATTTCAATATGACCTGCGTTTACAAGAAAAAAGATTGTTTTTGACTTTGATAGCTCTGACCCACAGCTTACTGACTACGTGACCCCTATTAGCTCTAAAACGCGTTCAATTTTTCTACACTGCTGCTTGCTTTAACGACATTCAGCATCAAACCATGGCGTAGTCGAGTTATGTCTTGATTCTACCGCACGCAATGGTGCAACATTGTCAAATATATACAATATTTCGACATTAAAAATATCGACAGCTTCATCCACTGATGTAAAGTCGAAAACCTTATTTCTGAAACACCGTTCAATTAGTGACAAAAATACATTGTCATCAACGCGTGACCAAGAACGAACCAGCTTTTTGGTCATGGCAGGAGGTGAGTGGCAAATGGGTAGACCACCACAAATAAAACTGTGGTCTGAAAAAATGCCACTGGGGTAAACTATGCAGTCAGTAATGTGTAAGTTATCAGAATGGACAATTAAATCTATCGTTCCGCCCATTAAATGAGTGAGTTCTTAAATTATGTTTGACATATTAAATAAATCGAAAACTTCAATCAGTGAAGTTGTGTGTGGGTCTTTATGTTTTTTGACGTGAATGTTTAAGTCGCCCATAATGATCATATGATCAGTCAATGTTGATATGTGTTCCAAAACTGAAACCAATTCTTTAAAAAACAAAGCCAAAACTGACTGTGAGCCAGGTTGGTAGATGGATACAAAAACTATGTTAATTAAATTTAGGTATATTTTGATTGCCAAAATGTATGTAACGCTGGCAAACATATGTTCTCATGCCTGAAATAATGGCGAAAAAATATTATTATGCCCCCATGATACGGATCGTCATGTCTTAAAAAGTCAACAATGACATAACCTGGTGGCATGGCTAGTTTCACAGAAATGTCTTGTGAGCGACCATGCCAGGTTTTAGTTACTACAAAAATGTCAAGACCATCATTTAAAATGTTATATATGATGTTGAATTTAGAAAGAATTGAACGTATATTTAGCAAACCTAGTTTCAGTGCTTTAGTTGATTTAACTCCATCATTGACCTTCAAACCGTCTCTTGGTTTTTGAAGCGAACAATTCGCCACTGACATATTTTTCCCCTTACCCTGTGTAAAAAAACCCTGTTTGTCCTCGTTTTCTCTCTTTTTAGCCTCAGTTAACAAAGCGTTTAAATTGTTTCGCTGTTCAGGGGTTAAGTCATGCCGTATTGCAACCCTCTAAAACTCGGGCCAAGTGTTTTCATTCTAAATTTTTCATTACCAAATTTTTGGTATCCAATTCACGAAAAGAAATCAATATGGGGCGAGCGACCTTCTCGTACCTCTTCCCAATTCTTCTCATTTTAAAAGCATTGACGCTATTTATGACATTGTTTGAAAGATGCTGAAATATTTTGAGAATTGAGTTTTTGTCATCATCGTATGAGGAATCATCTTTCATACTAAAAACTATGGTATTGTTTTCCCTCATTTTTACCTTGTTATCTTCATCAAGTCTATTTTGAACATTTTTGACCCCAGAGTTGACTGTTTTGAACCCTCTATCAATGTCTTTTTTGACAGCTTCCACCCAGCCAGATTTAATCTCGTCCCTCAACACGGACATTTCATGCTGTAGTTCAGCACTCTTCAACGATGATCCGACATTACCAGACAATGAAACCTTGGTCTCAGCTATTTTGTCCCTAATACGTTTATTTTCAATGGCAGTATCATTGACTGCATTTACCAACTTGGAGTGGCTATTTTCAATTGTCTCTATCATTTTGATAGAATTTTTAAGAGTTTCAATTGTCTTTATACAAATATTGCAAACCCTCAAAATGTTTTTACTGTCCAAGCATTTTGCTGCAAAATCGTCAGCAATACCAGCACATGTGTTACTTATTTTACCTTCACAAATAGTACATTGTAATGGAGTTGAGTTTCTCGGTATAGACTTACCACAACCACAACAACATTTCGTAGCCATCACAGTGTGGCTGCCGTAAAATGAACCAAACGAAAACAAAAGAAAAAAAAAACAAAAGAAACGTAACCGGGCGAAAGAATTTTATCCGAGTACAGGTGTTATAGCAATTTGTGCATGCTATACAAACGGAAAAAAACACAATGGCTATGGAAAATTAAAAATTTACATGGAATATCTCTCAAACATGTGTCTTTTTTTAAATGGACAACATCACAAGCATTCACCACATAAAAATTCAAACCATTCCAGATATCAATCACTCAATTACAAAAACAGTGCTTTCGTAGGTTCATGTTAAATTTTTGAGTTGAGAGCTTGTATTGATGACCTCTTGTTCTATCATCTCTTGCTTTGATCAAGTTGGGATAACAAGACGGCATCTCTGCACCGCTAGCTTAGAGTTAGCTTGAAGACCGTTATCAGATCTCTCCGCAATCGGCGATACTTTAGAGTCGGAAGATCTAAGTATCTTAAACGATCCTCATAATTGAGACCTCGGCAATCCTTCACCAATTTTGTTGCCCGCTTCTGTACTCTTTCGACATCTTCAATCAATTTCTTGGTCCATGGAACCCACACGCCGGATGCATATTCGATTCTAGATCTGACAATAGATTTGCATAATAATAGAAAAGAATTTGAAGTTAAATGACCAGGATTAAAGTGTCGAGAAATCAGACCTAAATTAATATTGCATTTATTTATACTACTATAAATATGCCTATGGAATGTTAGATCGCAATCAAAAGTCACTCCCAAATCATTCATTTTTGGGAGAATCTAAATATGTTCCATTTATTTGATAAACGTTTTTTAAAGCATTATCCTTCTCCCTCCATATCTAACAACCGATTCTAGATCTGACAATAGATTTGTATAATAATAGAAAAGAATTTGAAGTTAAATGACCTGGATTAAAGTGTCGAGAAATCAGACCTAAATTACTATTGCATTTATTTATACTACTTGTCGGGTTCAATATCTGCGTCGGCTCAAAATCAAATATTTGTTCCTAACGAAAATAATATCATTCAAGTGCATCAACGATAACAAATAATAACGATGATAAATGGCTCTGGAAAGCGAATATTAACTACAGATGCTAAGGAATATTAATAATTGTCAAACATAATACAGGAAAGTAATCGAATATAATTTGTGATATATAACCTGAGCTAACAATAACATAATAATAGTCAATTTCAGTTTATAAATAATAATGCTATAGAAATTCAATAATAATAAGAAATCATAAAATTGTGACAATGTTATTGTTGCGGGCGTTGACGCAAACGCAACAACTGGACTGAAGCTGTGGAAGAGACGTTGTTGTGGAACGCATCAAATGAAGCTCTACCGACGACGAAGTGTTGACTTGGACGTTTTAACTGGAGTGAAGCTGTTGAAGAAAAGTTGCTGTAGAACGCGTCAACTGAAACTCTACCAACGACGAAGTGTTGACGGGACGCGTTAACTGAAATGAAGATGTAGAACGCGTCAAATGAAACTCTACCAACGACGAAGTGTGAACGGGACGCGTTAACTAAAATGAAGATGTAGAACGCGTCAAATGAAACTCTACCGACGACGGAGTGTTGACTTGGACGTTTTAACTGGAGTGAAGCTGTTGAAGAAAAGTTGCTGTAGAACGCGTCAAATGAAACTCTACCAACGACGAAGTGTTGACGGGACGCGTTAACTGAAATGAAGATGTAGAACGCGTCAAATGAAACTCTACCAACGACGAAATGTTGACTTGGACGTTTTAACTGGAGTGAAGCTGTTGAAGAAAAGTTGCTGTAGAACGCGTCAAATGAAACTCTACCAACGACGAAGTGTTGACGGGACGCGTTAACTGAAATGAAGGTGTAGAACGCGTCAAATGAAACTCTACCAACGACGAAGTGTTGACTTGGACGTTTTAACTGGAGTGAAGCTGTTGAAGAAAAGTTGCTGTAGAACGCGTCAAATAAAACTCTACCAACGACGAAGTGTTGACGGGACGCGTTAACTGAAATGAAGGTGTAGAACGCGTCAAATGAAACTCTACCAACGACGAAGTACTGACGTGGTCGCGTTAACCGAAATGAAGCTGTTGACAGGGCCAAGTTTCTCTCTCACACTTATCCAGCTCTGGCGTACCTACCTACCAAAGTCCCAAGCCACAACCCAACGAAGTAAATTACCAACTACAACCGAACGTGAACTGAACCGAACGTTACCAACGCACCCACTGCAACCAATTTTTCTTTTGGCCTGTTGACTGTCCTTATTTATATTCTCACGTGTTGCAGGTAATTGGCTAATAAACTTCTTTCTATTTATACTCGCCAATCGTTCGTCAACAGCATATATTTTACATGTTTTTCTTTTCGTCCTCGAGCTTAGTTCGATCGACTGTTTTCACTTTCTTTATGGCACGCCGACCGAACCCTTACATACCTCCCATCACACATGGAATATTCTTTGTATTCCAAGAATATTCACATGGAATCTGGACTTCGCTCTATAGTCGTGAAAGATAATCAGCCACATTGCGGTTGCCGGCACGATAGGTAAAGTGGAGGTTGTATTCTTGTAGGGCCAGTGCCCACCTTAGTAATTTGGCACTCTTTGGCGTTGACTCTGTGAGAAATGTCAATGGATTGTGATCTGTATATATAGTAACTTCGGACATACAGATCCAGCTTCTGAATTTTTGTAGGGCCCATATGATCGCGAATGCCTCTCTTTCTATAGTGGCCCAATGTCTTTGTTGTTCTGTAAATTTTTTACGCGCAAAGGCGACCGGTCTTTCAAATTTCGCTTCATCGGGTTGTACTAAGCAACATCCCATGGCGTGTTCGCTGGCATCGGTAATTAGGCCGAAAGGTCGTTTATAATTTACAGTGTATAAGTTTGTCGCTGCTTTTAAATCTTGTATTATGTGGTTTAGTTTTTCCAAAAATTGAGTGCTATCCGCCATTTTGTAGACTTAAAGGCCATATGTCCAGCGAACGGAGCATCATGACCCAATTCGAGAATAGTTTTGATTCTTGTGGCTGGTAGACACAGCTGATTTATTCTATGACCCAAAATACTTTCTTTATGGTAAAGTATGGTGTCTTTCACAAAAAAGTTTCCTTTGTTTTGCCTTGCTAAATTCCATGCCCTTTTTAGCGTACTGCAGTTCGATTGTTCCTGATGGAGTCTGGTTTTCTCTGCAACTCCTTCTTTGCCCTCCTCCTCGACAAACTCATCGTGTTTCTCTGTTACCTGTACCTCATGTGTTTCCCCGGTGCTATCGTGTTGTTGATTTTTTTTGCTCTTTTTTTTGTCTCTGTACCTTCACCTTCGTTGGTGGGTGGGGTAGTATATATTTGTTGGAGTGTTCTAAATCAACTGACACGTTTGGGGTAATTATAATGTTGCTGCCCAAGTCTTATATTTTTCTGGCAAAGTTTCAATTATTTGACACATCAGCAACAAGTCACTGTTTTCATCTTTTTTTAACTCGACCTTAAATCTTTCCAAAGATTCTTAAGTTTTGTAACATGAGTTACAACATCATTACTTTGATCCATTTTATAATTGAAGAACTTCATGCATAAGTTGTATGCTATATCTTCATTAACTTCATCATACAATCTATGAAGTTTTAACCAAACACCTCAAGCATTACTGAATGAACGAACTTTTTCATACGTTTCATCGGTCATGTTGGTTGACAATTCTGTTTTGACAATTGACAATAAAGCAAATCGTAGCACTACAATTTGCGTTAATGAATCTGTTCAAAGTAGTTTGATATTTTGCTATCTCATCTTTATTTGAGTCATCGTTTAATTCATCTGGACCTTTTAATTTGCCATTTACTACATCCATTGCATCAGGAATGCCACGTAGTATTATACAAACTCTTGATTTCCAGTTCAACCAATTACTTTTGCCTTTTAGGTGTTTGATTTGCACTTTTGTTAGATCCATTTCTTCCTTGTCTTTCAATTTGACTTTTTAATTAGAAGCAAAATATCGACTTTCATTGAATGAGGAAGCACGTGTTTTTTCTTCACTTCAGTCTTCAAAAAGGAATCTTCAGATATTTCTTTATTCTAAATTTTCTTCTTCAAATCAATTAATTAAGAAAAACGTTATCTGGGTCCATAACCTGTTAAATTTCTTGTCACGTAAATTGTTTGATTAATTGATATAATATTGAAAGACATTAAAAGAAGAGAAATAAATTTGGCAACGTTCTTGACTTGTTTATTATCAACCGGAACAACAGAAAAAGAAAAAGTGAAGTAACTTACAAAGCAAAGAACATTTGGTCTAAAGAAAATTAATGTATATCATAAATCATAATGTTTTAAAATAAAACATAAAACTTTACACGTCCTACCTCGGAGAACTGGGTCTCTGGACGCTAAACGAAGATTGATTGATTGATTGATTGATTGATTGATTGATTGATTGATTGATTGATTGATTGATTGATTGATTGATTGATTGATTGATTGATTAGACATATCATGTATGGGTCCTATATTTTTTACTCTTTCTAAACAACTTGTACAGAGCCAAGAGTAACCAGAAATAGCAGAGATTTCTATAAATAGTTCTTCTAAGACCTTTCCACATTTTAGGTGATAAATACCTTTATACACCACACAATATAAGACATTTTTAGTAGCCCTAGTCACTTCATTGTTACAATTAGTGCATTTGCCCTTATCCTTAAAACTCATCATTTCTTTTCCCTATCAGACTTTCAGTAAAATATAAGTATTAATATCAAAATTCAATTGCCCAACAAAACAAAATAACACGGACAATAACTCACAAAACACTGACAACGAGAACAAATGACCGGCGTTTATCCCGCAGTTGCGGTATTCACTCTCAACACCTCTAGTCGAGCATAGTGTTAACAAATAATCTCTTCAGTCTAATATTATAATAAACAACAAAATTTTAAGATAAACTTATAAAGTTATTATTTATTTCGAAATCAAATCTAAAAAAATTCGTAAATGCGTCAGCCGTAATTTAAGTTAACTAGCTAATATGATTACTCATATGGATTATACTATACTTTATCAGCAAGAAAACAATGCTGGCAATCACTTGTGTGTATTGCTGTGACCAATCACTCGTTAATTCAATCTTTAACATCATTAGAATGTAACAACTAATCTACAGATAAATCAATAAATAAAACCAATCGTCACTAGTTAGACTTCTCCCGTCAGATGTCATCTGACGGGAGAAGTTTCGTACTCAGTATTCGCTATATTCACTCATAGACTCCTAAATAATAGATACTAGACGAGAAACTGAAATTTACACATGCCCAAACTGAGGCCATGCATTCTATATTACACACACAAAGTAAACGACGAAACGTCTTTAATTCTGCAACACTTAAACATTTTAATACTTTGAACAAACGATTAAAATGTTAAAACGATAAATATTTTAAACATTTATTAAAAAAATAAAAACAGTATTCATTGCAAAAAAAAATATAATTATGAAAATAAATTCAAATGTTCTGTAATTTACAAAGTTTTCTTTTTTTATAATTAATAGTCTTTTTTTCATTTGCATTTTCTGTAATTGATTTAATTAAATTATTTGCAACAATGTTAAAAAATATATTTGAAATTAATTGTATGAGATCATGCCCTGTGGTGGAAAATTCTGGAAATTCATTCTCCAAGTCATTATTGTCATTAAATCTATTTACAATATCACCAAATAATTGTTGCTGGTTTGAAACAGAGAGAAATTTGTGTAGTAAAATATCATTGTTTTTGATGATGGCAAGCACAGCAATTTTGATGAATACAGGCACTGCAGTACTAGTTGACATGAGAAAAAGGCCTGTTTCATCAAATATGATGAGTAGCATCGCTTGTGCTTTTTAATTAAAACTAATTGTAATTCTTCTTTTAAAAATGATATCATTTTAATTATTTCATCATTATCCAAAGAGCTTTTATCAATAAGGTCTAAACATTTTTCAATTTTATTGATTCCATTTGTGAGAATAATGTCCCACGATAGCGGTCTGTCACATTCACTGATGGCTTTGAATCTTGCAGCAGTATTTATCAATTGAGAAAATTCGGTTAACTTTCCTTGCAGTAAATCATTATAATTTTTTTGCAGGATAGCTTCCCCACACACTTCTACAAACAAATGAAACTCAGGTGCCACTAATATTGAACAACTAATAGATAAATGATGATCTTCATCAACCTTTACTATTAGTAATATCATGTTGTTGTCTATGAATTTAATTATAAATTCAGTAGATAAAGTTATTTCTTTCTCTAATTTCATTTTAATATCTTCAAGATTCAGACCTACGATTGAATCTTCTTCCATAAAATTTCTTTCCAACTCTACGAGTCTTTCCATTTCTTTATTATTCCTACTGCTTCGAAGCGCATTACCTGATCTTGATGTAGTTTTTTCACACAACATATGTTTTGAATGATTAGAAAAAATAGTTGGAACCGAATCGGGTTTAAGTCTTATCAAAAACGTATCCTTGTTGTTTCGGCGTTGACGAGCGATTTTACTGTCCTGAGATGATGTGATGAAATCATCTGGAGTAAAATGCTTGGAACAAACCCTGGTACGTTGCGAAGGATGAAAATCTTTTCTCGCGATATTTTTCAACCACTTTCTTGCTAATTCTTCGTCATCAATTGGAAATTTATGAAACGTGATTTTCTGTTTTTCCGTAATGTAATCTCAGACTCCGAACGATTTTCTGACGTATATCCAGATTTACAGCCATAAACACAACATTTATTAACCATTTTTAAATAAATTATTTAAAATAAAATATTTTTAATAACTTTAATATTTTTAAATAAATCAGCGAAATAAAAAGCAAGATCAACAACACAATACAAGCGTTGATAAACGAAATCAAAACGTTCAAAAGTAAACAACAGCAACTTATATAGCGAGTAGCATTTATTTATCAAACAAGCATGGCCTCAGTTTTGGGTCGAGCACACACAAAATTTCATTTAGTTTCTCGACCAGTAGGATATTATTTAGGAGACCATGATTCACTTTTCAGAAGGTTATCGTTAATTCATCGCAGACCGCGTGTAGAATTCTTCGTGTTAAACTTTTCCTCGGAAGTTGTCGCTAATTTGCTTGCAGTTCGCACACAAAACTTTTCTGCGATAGGACTTCCTCTTCGTTTGTTCATTTGTCAATTTAGATAGATACCCCAATGCACTTAGGGTGTTGTAAATATGCCTAATAAAATGTGTGACACTTTTAGACAAAGCTTGATGTTATCTCATTCGCCCTATGACGTCGTCCATACAATCCTCATTATATGCGTGTCAAATTTCATAATTAATTTTCATGTTGTTTAAAGATTCATTGGTTTATTAGTTTTGTTAATTCATCCATGCATGCTCAGTAATTCATAATTATTAATTTGCATCTCGACTTATCGCCTGCAACAATATTTTATTAGTTTTATTTATATATGAGCTTTACCAGCTCTCACAACTGTTTCTACCTGACTGTTTCATTAAATTAATAAATATTAAGTCAATACTTAATTCAAATGTTAAGCTTTTTGTAACCAATATTTTATTTTTGAAACCAGCTATGAAAAAAGAATGATTGAAGTTAACAACCATCAGATCATTATTCATGCTCTACATGATGCTGCATCTAGTAAAACTTCCTTTTTTATTTATTCAAACATTGTTCATTAACGTTCCTAAGGTCATTATTTTAATATCTTTTTATGTTTTTGTAATGTAAGCTCCTATCATTCGAACATATTTGGATGGACTCTCTAATTTTTTTGCAATTTTATCATTTTGCTGCAACAAAAATTAATTAACTTAATTTTGAAGAAAAAAAAATTAGCTTAGAAATGTTATTAATTGCTAAGCATTGAGGTAACTCAAATTTTTTTAAATTTTCAAATGCAATAGTTTAATTTTTATTCTAAATCTATATTAAATGTGGAAAATAAGAAATAAATTAACTTTTTCTCAACTAGGACTTTATTTTGGAAAAGAGTAATCAAATCGTGTAGAAAGCAAATCACAAAACTGATGAATTTATACAGTGGCGGATATAGACAACTTTGACGGTTGACGGGGGAACCAATATTAAAAAAAATATTTCATGACCGGGGGGAGATTTTTTCCTAAAAGTTGGCAACCGGAAGATAATTCCATTAAAAAATATGGAAGGTTGTTTTTTCCCAAAGGCTGGCGACCAGGGGAGGGGAATTTCCCGAAAAGTTCGAAAAATTTCAAAAAAGTCGTGGAGATATTTTTTCGAAAAGTTGACAAACGGAGGGGGTAATTCCATAAAAAATTATGTCGACGACTGGAGGGAAGGTTTTTCCCCACAGGTTGGCGACCGGGTATGGGAAATTTTCGAAAAGTTTGAAAATTTTTCTATATTTACCAGGGGCTAACTTTTTCACTAAATGGGCTTATAATGTCAATTTTTCCCTTCAAAAACACTAATTTTTCTGTTAAAACAACGACTTTCAACTAACTTATAACACAAATGGCGCTCAAAACGCCAGTGCCTCTCGGCCCCCCGCTAAATCCGTCATTGAATATATGCTAAAACAATAAACATGATGAGTCATTTCACCAAAACACACGTGATGAATCATTTCAACATAACAAACATGATGAATCATTTCAACATAACAACCATGATGATAATATGATTTATCATGTTTGTTATGTTAATCAATCTTCGTTTTGCGTCCAGAGACCCGATTTCCCGAGGTAGGACGTTCTTTTCTTTGCCATCAACTTTTTGCGCCAAATTAGACGATCAGTTGTATCCATATCATTTAAATTTAGAGCTTTCATGTCTTGCTCGATTGTTTGCGACCAGGACTTCTTTGGACGGCCTTTTGGACGTGTGCCAGGTACTTCAACATCTGCAAGAGAAGTTATGGCACTGTTTCCACTTTGTTTGACATGACCAAACCACCGCAGACGGTGTTGCCGGCATTCGTCCTTTATATCATCTAAACCAGTACGACGCAGGATTTCGGTAGATTTGATGTGGTCCTTCAGACTAATTCGTTGCATCCATCGGAGCATTTTCATGTTGGTTCGTTGAAGTTGTTGTTCCAGTTTGGTTGTCATTGGCCATGTTTCTGCACCATATAACAACACCGGACGTATCACTGATTTATAAAGTCTTGATCGTAGTGGTAGTGGGATGACACGCTGCATCAATATAGAGGCAAAGAGATGCCATTTATTCCAGGCTGCACGTATGCGTGCTCAAACGGCAGCTTCAGCTGTTCCGTTGAAATGTTTGTTATGTTGAAATGAATAATCATATTCGTTATGTTGAAATGATCCATCATGTTTCATAACATAACTGAACAAACAACATAGCAAACATGAATTATTTCAACATAACGAACATGATAAATCATTTTAATGTTATGAACAAGATATATTACGTTATATATATATATATATATATATATATATATATATATATATATATATATATATATATATATATAAACATTATTGAAGATATATGCCCATTTT